GATTAAACAATGAATTTTCGTTTCTGACTTTTGCCTCTAATTTATAGTGCATCACGGACTGGGATGCGTTCGGTCGCATCGTCTAAACAACGTTGTCGGCTTGCAGCTCCCAAGAACCTGTGTTTTAAATGGCGCGCTTTCGTATTTATGCTTTATTCGTGACTTTACATAGGTTTAATTGCGTAAACCAACATTATCTTCGTATTAGAGCAGTCCTTGCCTGTATTTTTCCGGAGTGCGGCTTTGGGAGCCTGCTGCGCTGAATCACGCTGCCTTCGTTCGCCAAGCCTCGCACGTTCGCTGTCTACTCACAGGCACTTGCTTTGTAAGTCGCTGCGAGAAGACCACGATGTTCTGCCGTTCACATGCTTTCGGCCCACCCACCGCTTCACACGCGCGTACGCTCAGTGCTAATCGATACTACCGCCTCTTCTGATTGGTGGCAGCCGACAGAGCACTAATCTTGCATCAAAATGTTTACCCACCCACACAACATCGCGGACACATCTGGCGAGCACACGCAGCTGGAGGCTGAGAGCCTATTTTACCGTCTATTTTCCGGCGGTATATTTCTGTCTACCAACAGAGTCTTCCCTGACTCTTGATTTGGGGGAACCTTCTGCTTGTCGAGACTACTAGCTGCAACAGGACTTCATATCCTATCGTCACCGGTGGGGCTTTCACTAACTCAAAGAGTCTCTGTTTTTTAAGGCTGTAAACCACGGTGCCCTTCTTAGCTCTCGAGATGAGACAAGTACACTTATTCCATCTATCAACTGAATCCGACGGAGTAGCCGTTAATTCATTTTCCAGAGGAACAACATTGAAATTCTGCCTCTTTAGATCTTCTTTTGCCAATACAAGCGAACATACGAGTCCCAGGAAGTAATTGAGAAGAAGACAACTCGATCGCTGGGACAATAATTTTAGTCGCCTGACGTTTCGACATCCGTCGCAGATTCTTCATGAGAGACTTTAGCATAAAACGGTAGCAGAAACGGGTAATACATACACAAGATATTGCACTAATTATAGGATACAGTCATTACTACAAACATGCAACGACAATTAACGTTAATTGCCTTCTTACGCGTGAATACTTTGCTAGACGGCTTGCGGGCTCTGACCTTTTGAACTGTCATCACGCGCGCCGGACGCGGGCGTGATGATTGCTCGGCTATCGGGCCCTCCAATGTTGACGTAGGCTGACGCAGTGACCTGTCGGTTCCCCAAGTGGCGACTTGCTTTGGCCAAATTGAGTCTCAGCGCCAAATATGGGTTGGGAAAATCGTTGTACTTGTTTATGAATTGGGGGCTCATGACCCATGACTCCAATAATTCTCGGCTCACCCGATTGTCACCTCTTGCGAGAAATTCGGCCTCATCCGCGACAGATGTCGAAACGTCAGGCGAATAAAATTATTATCCGAGCGATCGAGCTGTCTTCTTCTCAGATCTCTTTTAGCTCGGGAACGAAAAGATAGAAATTAGATAAGTTGGTCGGCAAAATGTTTACAGAAACATAAAGAAGCCCAAAATGGAGAGAACTAAATAAGCTATCAGCTTTCAGGCAATAAGTAGATCTCACACCATTAAGGGCATCATTTTGTAGGTGCCGCTCCCTCTTGAGGAGTGGCTGTTTTGAACTCATGACGGGGCCAAGACGGAATTCTGCGGTTTCTTAGATGATATATGAAAGTATCTGTACGAAACTCGAATCTGAGACGACAAACCCCTAGGGGTCTGCAAGTTGGCGGGCTTCGATTCGCGAATGACATATATTATTTTTCAGTAGTTCAAGAGGTCAAGTAAGGCGAATGAACGGTTTCGATTAATTCATCATCAGGCAAATACAATAAGGGAGGGTGAAGTTAACAAAAGTTTGGGCAAAAAGTCAGTAGTAATTAAGGGAGAAGGGGGGAGAGCTGTTAAGGGATCAGAGGGGTCAGAGCGGAGAAAGGCGGGAGGAGGGAAAGGGTTCCGACAATTTGTTAATGTCGTCCCGTCGTCTTTGCCTCGCGTTTTTTTGGGAGGCCTGAGGGCGAAAGGTGTCTCCGTGTCGGGATGGCGTGGATGACCTGAAGTTGCTTGCTATCGCTGCCTCATCATTGTTTCGCGGCATGGTAGGAAGTGTGTGGGCGGATGTTGAGTTGGCCTACGGCCATGGGAACTTTAGGGCCGCCACAAACGCCTTCTTCGCACATAAAACCGGCTTAGTTAACCGTATGGCGATTTTCTCTACCGTCGCAAGTATCCGCTGACGCAGGAGCTTCAAATGTTTCGCTGGCACTTTATAAATGACTCTACACGCTTGGTTAACGTCTGCCCGATGACCGCTGTCAACCAAGTGAGCCGCTTGATATTGACTTTACCTCGCCTCTGACTCCATGCGTCCTCACGCCTCCCAACAAAACGCGAGACATTAACTAATTAACTGATTATCGGACCCCTTCCCCTTCCCCCTTCTCTGTTCCCAATTAAGACTGACATCTGATCCCTGTGATTCCTTAACACCGCTCCCCCCTTCTCCCTTTATTACTACTGATTGGTTGCTTAAACTTTCGTTAACTCTGCCCTCCCTTGTATTATTGTATTTACCTGATTATGTATTAAACAAAAACGTTTTTTCGCCTTAATTGACTTCCTGAATGCCTATATGGGTTTCAGTAGCTCTTGCTAAACTATGTAAAATGAAGAGATCATGATAGAATGGAGGAATCCAATATTTTGACTTCCTATGGCCCTTTGGATGACCTTCTCATTGTGATCCAACCGCAAAGTTTAACCCTTCAACAAACGCTAGTATGTTTCTTAAATCGGCAGAAATACCTGCTATGGTCCAGTTAAATGAGATACATAAATGTTAGGCCTACGAGGCATCTGGTCCGATTCAAACCAAAGTCATCGGGGGGACATTCTCTCGAAACAGGTCTTGCCGTGAAATGCGCCCTCACAAGGCACACTACTGATAGAATGTATATTTGCACCACGCCAGTCAGAAGCTTTCACACATTTGGGCGGGGCACGTGCTCTCATCGTGTCCCTTTCTACCCCCCCCTTCCCCTTGGTCTAAATTTGAGAAGCCTAGATGCAGTTATAATGTACCCGTTTAGAGCTTCTTCACTTGGTTACAGGTCAGACCCTTCAGGCCCTTTCTATACCTGTTGAATGATATGTTTGTGCACCTTGTTGGCACGATGGACACTTCACTTTATGCAGCATATCAGCGAACAAGTATGATGCGTCCACTGCCTCGAACAATAGTTGCCATGGTTTCCTAGCGCCATGGCAGCCCATGAATGAGAGGAGACCTGCCTCAACGTCTGTTACTTGCATCCATCCCGTCGCTTTCCCTATCCTTCCCCCGTGGGTATAAATGAAGCAGAACTTGTAGCGCGTGACAGAGCGGTTGGTTGTTAAGGCAGTTACGTGCTCATTTTGCTTTTCCACGCCTCATGCGACTTATTTCTGTTGATAGACTCCTATGGATGACCCCCTAGGTCGTATGCGGCAGCGGTCAAGGTCTTCGATGCATACAGGGAGCGTGATGGTACGTGCCCATAGCCACCTTCCTCACCACCGGCCTTGCAGACTGCTTTATCAACTCGGACTTCGTCGAGCGACTCGGAGGGCAAATACGCCACAGGAAGGAACGATACTTCAAAGAGTCTTCGAGCACGAAAACACCAATGCTGCCTTCTTTTTGTCCCAAAAACCCCTCTCCCATCTCCATACACACTCTCTTCCGAAATCGATTACCTTCATTTCCTCACTATGTTAGGTGGTATAGGCAAGCATAGGCCATAGGGGTATATAGATAGGTTAAGGATTTATTAGGATTATACTTTTTTGGAAGCACATCCCTAACATATGATTAACACATCTTTTATTTTTTTAGTTGAATCGACGGGTAAGTTTCTGATCGTTATACTCTACTCTATTGCATTTGGGTTCTTCTTTTGTTCATCGCAAAACACGTTATTTTACGCATTTGACATGCCTTTAATGCTCTAACCCCCTGCGCTAATGCACCAACGCTGCCTGACCAACCATCTTGACTGGTTCAAGGTATTGATCCCAGAAAAAAATTAGCTGTACTAGACCCATTTAAAAAAAAAACGCGACCGCAAACTGACAATAATTTTTAATTTAATGCGTTCACTTGACATGTATTGTTCGGTAAACACAGGTAATCGTTCAAATTTGCAAAAACTTCCTCCTGAGAAATAATTTAAATAAGGCAATAAAATTAGAAATATTTTTAAAAAATTGCAGGTCGAACAACGGGGTTCTCCCTGGCAAAATATCCTTTGAAAAATCGAGCTCAAGCCTATGAGTAAAAACATAGTCTGATAAGTTCCCCACAAATAAAGAGCTATCTGGAGAAAATGATTTGCCAGGTTTCAAACACCTCATCCTGAATGACTGCCCTCGGGGCACTAGCAACGCATTTTCAACCAAAATTCCCTTTTAGGTCCACCAACAACACAACCACCACCATCACCACCAACACCGTCACCAACAACACCAACAACAACAACAACTTCTGCTACTACAACGACGACTACAACAACCACAACTACGACCACAACTACAAGTGAGTAATACCCCTTTTTTCTTTCGTTTGTGTGTTTTTGAGGTATCCTCTGACCATAATTTTCATTGCTTGTCAAATATAAAATGCCTAGCAAAAACGCTCCTATATATAGAGATACTTAAGAGAGACAGAGAATGAAGGTGTGATTATTCGTCTGTTGAATAATTATAATCTGCAGGGTAATTTTAAGGCAAAGTCATTCAGTCTCTTTCCCTCTCAGAGAACATCGTCTAGAGGTGGCATCACATCCTGACGATGAGAGTAACGCTAAGAAATCGGTCTTAGGCAATCTTAATGCACCTTTTGCAATGTGTTTTAGACTAAGTTTTAGCCTAGTAGTCATTCTGGTGGATTCTAGATGATTGCTTAGGAAATCATACTTGGGCAGTCAACCTGCTGTCCCGTATTGGGGGATTCCATACGAGCGGCAAAGTTGGGCGGGCAATATCGATCCAAGTGTGATTAAACTTACTGTGTGAAGCATGGCATTCGTAGCTCAAGTAGGTAGAACGTTGGCTTGCGTCGAAGGCCTTCATACCTATGCGGGTTCGAATCCTGCCGAATGCCGCGAGTTTCTTCACATTTGGGTCAACTAAATTAAGAATGGTTACTTTTAGTAAATTAGCACATCTACTATCTCGGAACATAACTACAAGTTATTTCAGGCGCAGCATGATTCCACTGTTTCAATAAGGGTGTTTTCGTCACCCTATGGTAATCCCAATGAATAAGAGATGACTACTCAAGTAATGTGAATTTTTATATCGCTCTTAGATGTCCTTACAAACTGAATTTGCATAATGTACAATGCGGCGAGTGCTGGAAGTAAAATGCCGCAATTTGCGAAAGACTGGTAATCAAACACAAAACAACATCAAGTAGGGTTGCGATACTGGTTATCGTGCGATCTAATTCAAAGTCATTTCGGTTACGCCAGGATGCCGGCTCTATAATGAGCCGATTAGAAAAAAGCACATTCTGTAAAAAACGCCTACGTAAATAGTAGGCATTCTGATAATGGATGTTGACTGCCTTTATAAATTTCAAATATGTTATATAGAAAGCATGCACGAAAATATGTTTTCGTACTCGCTTGATAGGAAATTGCACCTTCTTTAAATTTTCTACTTAAAGAAATGAGATCCCTTGGTTTTAGAAAAGTTTATATTTATGAGATTTCTCACAACTGTGAAATGTTCATTCATAATACTTCGTATCTGTCAATTTATTAATACTGCCGATAGTGTAAATGGTATGATCCACGTCAATCGCAACATTTTATAAGAACTGGGCGACCTCTTCCTCAAACTGGAGGCAGAAACATTTTCCCTTAAGCAGGAGGTACACATCATGGTGTTTGGAAACCTTGGATTGAGGTATAGCTGTCGGTGAATTTCAAAACAATTCGGCAATTTATAAACGTTTTCAAAACGGAAAAATACCTTTTCTTTAAGCATACAATTTAGTAGAGGCATAATTTTCTAACAAACGAGTGCAAGAAAGAATATTTCGGTGCATTTTTTCTACGACATATAGTTGAGTTTATACAGGCCATTAAAATCAGTGATAAAAATGCATACGATTTAGATAGCTATTTTTACAGAATCTGCTTTTTGTAAGCAGTCAGAAAAGAGCTCGTTACACAGCCGGTATCCTAGTGTTTCTGAAAGGACTTTAAATTAGACTGCACGATAATCAGTATTGCAATCCTGCCTAATGTTGTTTTGCTAGTGATTACCAGTCTTTCGCAAATTGTGCCATTTTACATGAAGCACTCGCCATACTCTTTAAATCATAAGCTGATTTGTGCTTCATTGCACTCATTTTATAGCCTGTTATGTCTTCCTTAAAATCTCGACTCAGATAAGGGATATTGGTTGACTTTACAAGGATTCTTATTGTTTAATTTTAAAGACTAGAAAATCTCAGTTGGAAACTCATCATATGTGTTCGTTTACTAATGTCCCTTTTGAAGTATACGCTAAAGACCGCATCCATTGCTAATCTGAATGAGCATTTTAGGTTATCGTCGTAAGTACATACATTACTGTACGATATTCCTTTCAGAGAGTGCATATACAGTTTGCAGATTGACAGCTGATACAAGAAAACCTGGAAGTCTGAGAAGTTAATTGCTTCCGTACTGCCAGGCAAATAATGTCCTTGTTCCAGCGATCGTGTTTCAAGTTAAAAATCATAAAGCTAAATGCAGCGGCATGTCGTGCTCCAAATTATTCGGGAATTGCAAGGCATTTTTAAAACCTAAACATCCATTTATCCCGAATAAACACTTAGAAGAAGCCGAACTTTTCCACCAAGTGTGTACAAGACAGAATGTATTTGTAATTAGGAGGTTTGGCAGATTTGCTTAATTTGAGTTTACCCAATTGTGAAAAAACTCGAGGCGTTTGTAGCTTAGCGGTTAGAGCGTTGGCTTCCGGTAAAGACCTTCTCTACTACGCGCGTTCAAATCCCGCCAAACGCCTCGAATTTTTTCACAATTGGGTCAACCCAAAAGAATGTATTTGCTCATTTTTTCGATAAAATATATTTGAACAGGTAAGGGTGTGTCGGTCTCAGTATTAAGTGTATTTGATCACTACAAACTTCAGGCGAACTCCCCAGGTTGAAGGTAAAAGGCTAAAGTCACCAGAAATAGTGAATAATCGTCTACTGAACCCCATGTTGCTGACCCAGGCAGCTGGCTGGCTAGAAGCCCTTGTTGGATCAGGAGCCCCGCCGGGTGGGCCTCAGTCCCCGCGGCGAGGAGGAGGAGTCAGAGAAGCATGGTCGGGAAGGGCTGCCTCGTCATGAAAAACAGAGATGGAGAGGAGGGGAGATAGATCCACTGTAGGGAGATTGGTGTAGCAGAC